TCATTACACTTCAAAACTCAAGTATTTTTGACCTACTTGAGAATAACTTGTTGATATTTAAAAATCTCACAAGACATACAATAAAACCTCAATTTAATGGACTAATTTGAGCAAGGAGGTATCCATCCGTTATATAATAAAGTAAGTTTACCAAATACATTGCGTTACACAAATAAGTTTAGTTAAAAAAATCGTCAAATAATGTAGATACATATAGAAAACTTTTCTGTGAAATTAAATTTAGTCTCAGAACTATGAGTTTATAATATGATTTAAATAATAAAGTGCAAACAAATAAACAGTTTTTGGAAAATGCACTCTAACTAAACAAATACATGTTAAGACAGGAAATTTTTTGGGTTTTTATTTCTTCAGCTTTGGATATGTTGAGACACTCCTTGTGATGTGAAGAGGGGTGACTGATTTGAAAAAAAAGTAACCTGTTAATTTTAATTTAATTAATACCTTGTTAAAATGCATTTTATATGTAATTTTCACATATGACATTTAACAAACAAAATTTCTGATCTATCAAAATTCCTTAAATTGAGGTTTACTGTATTTTTAACTCCAGAATAATAATCTGTAAAACAAACCTTATTAAAACTGTCAGCTGTAACTGTTGTTAATCATAAACAGTACTAGTTTAATATAGTTGCATACTACATATACATGCTATAATGTAAAAAATCTTGGCATAAATGCTACTGTTCAATTTATGTACAAACATAGAAATGATAACATCAATCATACAGGAACAGATTAGAAAGAGGATAGTCATCCCAAGTAGTTTTAATAGTAGTTATATAGTAGTTTTAATATTACTCAATTTCATTTTCAAATTAAAAATCATTTTTTAAGAGAGTAAAACAATATAATAATAAAATAGTGGAAATTAAATTTTCACATTTAGTTATTGCATTAGTTGTTTAGCAATTCTATAGATTATACAAAATCTTACCTTTTCAATGCATATACTTTAAATATACTCAATATATTCTCATTCTGACTGACAGACACAGAGAAGTGTTGTATCAAAAAAAAAATAATTTCACACAACTTCTGCTAACCCACTATCAATATATTTTGATTCAATTTTACAAGATTTCAAACTTTCTTTACAGACATACTATCTGCTTATCAAATTCAATGCTTTATTAAACCATTTATATCATTCAGTTGTAAAGTATTAATAATAACGAACTTTAATATTAAGTTTGCTGCCCACCAATGGTCAAGAGAATCATCACCATCACTGATAGGTCATGGTTTCAGACCTGACTGCATGGAGTTTTTCTGGGTTTCTTTATCAGAAAGTGGTCCTTGAGGTGAGATATGTAAAGTCCTAAGAGCATATTACCTTTGAAGTCTCCCTCATATTGTTTGGTTTGAGAGACATTGAGAGTATTGTATGTGAAACTTTGCTATTTGGAGAGAGATTCTTCAAAACAAGATAGCCTATTACTCAAATTCTAAAATAATTGGATTGGTACACAATGTTCCCTATCGTGTTTCCCCGAAAATAAGACCTAGCAGAGGTTTTGCTGAATTGCGAAATATAAGGCCTCCCCCTGAAAGTAAGACCTAGGAAAGTTTTTTTTAGTCGTAACGATCATCGACAGATGGTTGAAAGCGGCCGTTGGCTTTTTGAAAGTACAGCCACTAATTGGTCAGCAATCACGCCACACGGCATGATTTGCATAAGACTATGGCTTGGGAATCAGATTTGCATAACGTTACGGCTGGTGATCACTAATTGGTCGGCCGGGAATCATGCCACATCACATTTGCATAGTGCTACGGTTCAGTAAGCACTAATTGGTTGTCGAGCCCGATGTCAACGCTATGAAAAGATTAAGTTGAAGCAAGAGTGGTAAGTCCACTCTAGCACGGAAACGTCATAATTTCACTTCGGTTTTATTTAAGTTCAGTTCCACACGACCAGATATATGCCACTCTCATCTAAGTTAGACTTGGGAATTTTTTTGTTCAACAATAAATATGAATTCTTCTTCATGGAAAAATAAGACAACCCCTGAAAATAAGACCTAGCGCACCTTTGAGAGCAAAAATTAATATAAGACACCGTCTTATTTTCGGGGAAACACAGTAGTAAAACTCTGGTCAACTCTCTTCCATAATGCAAAGATTGTTCAATTTAAATGATTATATAACAAGTTAAGCATTTTAAGTCATGCCATTAATTAACATGTTCACTGCTGGTAAAAAAAACTATTTCCCAAACAGTAAGCTGGAAAATATTGTTATAAGAAGGTAAAATTTCAACTGGGATACTTATTATTTTAGGAATTGAACAAAACTCTGGGGCCTTTTTGCTTCATTTGCTCTGTCCTGGAAAATATGCTAAAGGACATAATAAAAAGTGTCAATATGAGGAAATTGGAAGGAAGGTATCCAACCAGATGATAAAATACTAGAGGAAACAAATCAGTGCGTGCTACTCAGATAACTAGAATTTTATGAAAATTTCAATATTACAAAATCAACAGGCATATGGTTTGATTGAATTCCTTCTGAGTGTCATGAGGAAAATTAATAGCTATTGTAATATCTGTTTTAACAAAAGTTACCAGTTTAATAGAAAAAGTAATGAAAATATAAGAGCACTTACATAAAGATGCAATATAAAGTATAATTCATTAATTGAAATTACAAAGGTATGAAATTTTAAGTTCTTGAAAGTGAAAAATATTAAAGAACTCCAAACTTTATAATGTTTATCATTGAATTAAATCTTAAAACAATATTATATAACAAAAATGTAAATTAATACTTCTGTTATGATTTTTCCAAAGTCATTTGAGTGAATAAAGTACAAGAAAAGATTTTAATGGATGTTTTCCAAAAATGTTGACCAAATGGCTCATAAGATATCTAATTTCTCTTGGTGTCAAGTTGGTGAGTTTTCATTACACTTCAAAACTCAAGTATTTTTGACCTACTTGAGAATAACTTGTTGATATTTAAAAATCTCACAAGACATACAATAAAACCTCAATTTAATGGACTAATTTGAGCAAGGAGGTATCCATCCGTTATATAATAAAGTAAGTTTACCAAATACATTGCGTTACACAAATAAGTTTAGTTAAAAAAATCGTCAAATAATGTAGATACATATAGAAAACTTTTCTGTGAAATTAAATTTAGTCTCAGAACTATGAGTTTATAATATGATTTAAATAATAAAGTGCAAACAAATAAACAGTTTTTGGAAAATGCACTCTAACTAAACAAATACATGTTAAGACAGGAAATTTTTTGGGTTTTTATTTCTTCAGCTTTGGATATGTTGAGACACTCCTTGTGATGTGAAGAGGGGTGACTGATTTGAAAAAAAAGTAACCTGTTAATTTTAATTTAATTAATACCTTGTTAAAATGCATTTTATATGTAATTTTCACATATGACATTTAACAAACAAAATTTCTGATCTATCAAAATTCCTTAAATTGAGGTTTACTGTATTTTTAACTCCAGAATAATAATCTGTAAAACAAACCTTATTAAAACTGTCAGCTGTAACTGTTGTTAATCATAAACAGTACTAGTTTAATATAGTTGCATACTACATATACATGCTATAATGTAAAAAATCTTGGCATAAATGCTACTGTTCAATTTATGTACAAACATAGAAATGATAACATCAATCATACAGGAACAGATTAGAAAGAGGATAGTCATCCCAAGTAGTTTTAATAGTAGTTATATAGTAGTTTTAATATTACTCAATTTCATTTTATATACGCATTTTGGAAATGATGAGTCGGATTAGTCTAGAATCGATTAATTTTATGGAAGAAAATCTTNATACCAAAAAAATCAATAAATAATAAGAAATAAATGAATGAGTAAATAAATAAATACATTGTAAGTATTTATGAATTAATTAATTAATTTAAAAAAAAAGGAAAAAAGTATACACAACAAGAGAATCAAACCCAAGCACGCAAGTGTACGAGTCAGAAGCGTTACCACTCACACCATAGCACGCTCGAGCGGAAGTACAGTACACGTAACTTATATATAAAGTGCTAAAGAAAACTAAGTTTGTTTTTCTCAATTATATTTGAGTGTTGCACTTTAGTATTTTACAGGTAGTACACTCACATGGTGTACTACCTCTACACCAATGATCATTAAAATCTGTTTCCCCAAAGCTGTAGGGTCTCCTTGTAAGATGAAAAATGTGATGATTCTTTTATCATATTAACTACTACTACTTATGAAATAGATATTTTCATGAAAAACTATTTTTCTATTTACACATTGTGTTGATATATTTTTAATAATGTTATTTATTGGAATAGTAATTCCAAATTTCAAAAACTTTTTATATACAGTAGAGCATTGATTATTCGACCCCCAATTAACTGTCACCTCGGTTAACCGACCGCGTTATAGTTGGCAAATTCAAATGTCCGCTAGTGATGTGGCACTACAATATTTGGCTATGTCTTGGCTACTTTAATATTATTTTTGTGTTTTAGCTGGCAACACTGGATCGACCATGAAAGGGAGCCAGTATTTAAATGAGGCTTAATTTTCTAATTTTTAACAATACAATAGTGATGATTATTATTTTTAAAAAAAATTTGATAGGCTTAACATGGAGGAAAATTCAACGCAAAGTAGGTTAATAGCAATATACTAATTACATGGGATATAATAATATACTACACTAATAATGGATTTTATCATACTTTTCGGTTATCCGCCTTTTCAATTATCCGACCAACCCCAGTCTCCTTTTGAGTCAGATAATCAATGCTCTACTGTACATGTAATTACCATTTATGAAGATTTTTTCAAATCCTAACTCAATGAACAGTATAGATAAAAAATATGAAATTCAGGACAGTTTTATTTACTTTATTAAAATTATATATATATATATATAAATTAATAAAATGTTTTTTGTATGAAATGTTTTGATAAAAATTGGAGTTAATTAAAACCTAATTAAACTGTTGCAGAGAGATTCCAAGAGAATTAGCTATTCAAGCTAAAGGTGAAGTCAATCTTAGCATGGAAGATCACAGGCATGAAGAATATACCATGCCTAAAAAGATAATTGAAGCATTTTCAGGAGCTGGTCATAGGCTGGGAAGGTATGATTAATTTTGAACTGTGCTTTTAATTTTTTTTAAAATAGTAAAACAAAATTTTTCATTTATTGTTTTACAATATAATAGCTTTTCAGATATTTAGAATTGGTTAATGGGAAATTTAAAAAAAATTGTATGTGCTTGAAAATGATATAAATATAAGAAGCTAATTAAAAAAATTGTTTTTATTATTAGGTTATATTTTATCTTAATTATACTTATTTAAGAAATGTGTGGTCTTGTTTTACATAACACAAGTATCATGTAAAAAATTCCATATAAATTAGTGCTTCATCCAAATAGTCCCAGATGATTAGATGATTGCCCATTATTCATATTAGCTCACTGTTAGATGATGTGTAATTTTTTGTATTGTAAATTTATGGCTCATGCACTGTGCATGACTAAATTTCAGAACATATCTTCAACGCTTTTTTAATATACTCAATGCTTTTTTATAATTCATACTTTTAAATGTTCAATAATTTTAGTATTGAGAGAAAGTTGTTGGTTTATTGTTATATTGAATGAATCTCAGTATCAAGCCCAGTATTGATTTTCAAAATTTTGGTTTAGCATAGCCTTAGTAATGTTTAATAATTCTATATTATAAGTGTTAGAAGCTAGAGAAACATGGTTTGCTGATATAAGAGAGAGATTCAGTGGTACTAGAAGCAGGTCAATCTAACTATATACCATCTGTGAAAACACAAATCAGTATGTTGCAGTTTCACGCAAAATAATACCCTTTCTTTGATCACTATTCTTTCAATACATTTCATTGGTGGCTGATCATTCCCATTATATTGTTCTTCTGGCCATAATTCCATTGGGAAAATATATTGTATTGCTTTTGTTTTAGAACATGTTATATGGAAAAGAGGAATGCAAATTTTTCTATTTTATTATTTGTATGTTTGTGGTTATTTAAGTCTGTTTTAAATACAAACTGTAGAAATTTTTGCTGTTTCAACTATTTGTATGTATAAATTAATACCAGTTCATTTCAAATAAAAATTTAAATATAGAATGAAGTTGAAATAAAAAATATAATAGCTTTTTGTTAATTTCTAGCCCTACTCCTGGTGTTATATTGCATCAAGAAAACCAAAGCAAACCATGTGAAGAAGACAATAAAAGGAATGAAGAACTTGCTCGATCTATGTTACAGTTAAAAGAATCTGAACCAACTACTAACATTCAAATACGTCTTGCTGATGGTTCGAGAATGGTTTTAAAAATGAACCATACTCACACTGTTGGAGATATAAGAAGATATATTGTGACGTATCCTTTTGTGTTAAATTTTTAAATATTTTATCTTTTACATAGAAAAACATAGATATAAATATTTGAACTAATTAATATTCAAAGATTGAAAATAAATCTTGTTTGAATCTTTGATAACTTTTCACTCAGTAATATTTGAAAAAACATATATGAGCATTAAAGCAATATAAATTTAATGTACAGTAGCCCCTCCTTATATCATGGATTTGAATATATCGTGCCTTTTTTTGGTCCTCCTTCAAATTATAAAAGCACTTGAATTAATAAATTTTAAAATATCAATTGCCAGTGAATTTTCAGTGAATTACTACCACTGAGGTGAAATAATAAATTTGTCAAGATCTAAATAAGCAAAACAGGTGGAAAGATCAATTACCATTTATAAGTAATGTCTCCTCATTGAGAAGTTTGGAATTCACCGATATATAAGGCCTGTGCAGAGGTCATCCAATGAAGATTGTTATTTGGCACTTTCAGCAAGGTGCCACAGGTCTGCTACAGCTTCACAGCTATCTCGTGAGTTGCATGCTGCCAGTGGAGCACAAGTTTCAAGCGTTACTGTTTCCTGGAAGCTTCATGAGAGAAGGCTTTTGCCAGAAGACCTATTGTCTCACTCACTTCAGCACTCAAGAGTGTGTTTAGCATGGGTGCAGACAACATCAGCCTTGGACCAGACTTCAGTGTGGTACCTTTTTCTTTTTTTTTTTTTTTTTTTTTTTTTTTAGACAAGTCGTGATTCAGCCTGGTCACAGATTTTTGATGTATCTTTATCTGGAGAGAGCCTGGGAGCTGATTTCTTTCCTCCAACACCCAAGAAAAGGTATGCTGTAGTAGTAGCAGCAGTGTCATGGTCTGGGCAAACATCATGTTGAATGGCCACACACCTCTTCTTGTGATTGACAGAGGCTTCCTGACTGCTGAGAAATATAGTGAAACACTGGGTTTTTATTGCTTTCAGGAGGTGCACGACTATTTTTGACATACTTCATAATGGGAAGGACCATTCCAACCCGAAGAGACTCCCTGGTGTCCCCATTAGTGACAACAGATGTGATAGAGACCTAGTACACATTGGATCAACTAAGTGCTCCATGGGGGTCAGGGTACAAGAGCATTTCACTGATATACAACATGTGAGAACTACCATGATCCTTTCTACATATACCATGGATCCTGATATTGTAGCAGACTTCAACAGGGCTAAAGTCATCCTTGCTTTGTCCCCCATGGAACACCTCAGATGGTTGGAGGCCGTGCAGATATTAACATCAATGTGCATAAATTATAAATAGGAAATGGTTTTGTTGATGGCCTGGCAAGCATTGATTGACAATACAGTTTAACTGTTTGTTGTGACTTGGTTAGGCTACTGAGTGCACAGGCATTTCGTGGAATTTTCGCATTTGTAATTTGAAAGCTTGTAAAAGCTTTTTTCGGAATATAAAATTCGAATAACATTCCATCGCCTGAAAAAGAACTCTGGTGGAGTTTGAAAATGTTTGGTTTAGTTTGTTTGTCGTCGTCATCCCATCTTTTATGTAGCACTTGTGGTCACTAATCGTATTTGTTTGTTCTTATGCCTTCTACCGTATAGGTTGTGGCACAGTTTGGCCCAGCTGTTTTCCTTGTGCCAGAAAACAGTAGCATCAACCAAGCTTTAAAAGCTTAACTTTAAAGAATATTCATCATTTGTAGTTTTTCACCATTATAAAGCTTTTCTGTTGAATACTCACCTAACAAAACTTTTATTGTAATGAAATACAGTCGACCCCCCTATAATTACGGTCCCTATAGTTACGATTCCTATAAAACTACGAAAAAATTGCTACCGGTATCCGTAAAAAATAGTAAAAGTTCCCTATAAACACCTCAAACGTCATCGGGAAGCCGAACTACTTTCCCGCCGTCCGTAGCGCCACGCTACGGAGAGATTTCTATCGTCTGGACAGTATTATATAAATTATATATAAATTAGGTACTGTACATATAATTATATATTAATTATATATAAATTAGGTACTGTATATATAATTATATATTAACTTATTGTAACTTTGTTATAATTAAATATATAATTTCCGCCGTCTAGCGTGGCGCCACGCTACGGAGATTTTTACGCTAACTATCGTCTGTCAGTATGTAAATTAGGTACCGTAAGTCTAATACAGTACTGTAATTTTATACATTTCTTGTGAAAGAAACATTTCTTATTCAACGGCGATTAAAATTATTTATATTAATGATGTCTCCGAAGTTCTACGAAGTTTTCACAGAAAAATAAGTTGTTAGAAATCGGCCGCTCTTTGCTGAGCTGTTCCGCGACGAAAACAATGTTGAGCAATGGCAATGTCGAATGGTGACACTCGGTAAGTAATCCTACAATTTTTTGTTTATAGCGTAGTTTATACGGATTATTCCCAAAAAATATATACGTATTTTGGAAATGTTGAGTCGGATTAGTCTAGAATCGATTAATTTTATGGAAGAAAATCTTTCAAACAGCCGTAGTCCGTAAACTTGATACGTGTCGGGTTGTGATTGGAAGGATTCGTAAGAAAGCGGATTCCTAGAGAATGGAACGTATCTCTATCTTATAGGGGGGTCGACTGTATTAGGGAAAATCCAAAAAAAGGCTTGGATAGTACTAATTTTAGATTTAATTTTGAGGCCAGTAGAATCATAAGAGTTGAGAAAATTAATCTTTAAGATATGGTATGTTATCAAATATGTTACATTTACTAGCATATAAGATGAGGTTTTTATTCATTTTTCCCTGCTTCAAAAATCTAGGTCATCCTACATGTGCAAGTGAAGGATTCTTTGTGTTTTTGCAATAATTTTTGTGAACTGTGTGTTCACGTTTTTTACTGGATGCTCACTCTCTGGTGTTTGAAATGACCCAGATAAAATAGTTGTTTTTAATTGTTCTTGTGTATTGTCAGGAGTAAAGATGAATAGCAATAGGGAAAAGCAAATCTTTTGAATTGAATTCCAAAATCTCACAGGAACCAATATAAGTTTTAATCCATTCCCATGTGAAAACAGATTATTATAGAATTTGTCGATTACCCTTATGAGTTTCTCCAGAGTAGTTTTGATTTTTCCTTAATTTGGGAACCTTTTTTTTCCAATTCTTAACAATCTTGTAAAATCGACAACATAAAGTTTAAAATGCCAGTAATTTTTGTGGGACAATGTGTGCATTTGACATTTTATTTGTGATTAAATAAAATTAAATTGTATTAATAAATCCAATTTTCTTTATTTTGATCTTTAAAGTCATACCTTATCCTATACGCAAGTAAATGTGGTATTTTTAATGCTGCTGTATTAGGTAGTATGGTGATTTTTTTAGATTTCCATTATTTGTGGTATTTTTGAAAGAAATGACTTGCTACTCAAATTACATATTTAACTGAGAAAGTATTCAAAAAATATAAGAATAAATTACTAAATGTTGATTTGTTTAGTATACAATGGAGAAATCTTCAAGCACATTTTTTAAAATTTATTCTATGTTATACTGATTGAATTGTTGATTACTTGTATGATTCTTAACAACAGATTAGAGCCCGTCCACAATACAGTGCCAGTTTATTTGCTCTGCTGACAGCATTTCCAAGTAAAGAGCTAAATGAAGATTCCATAACTTTGAAAGATGCAAATATTTTAAATTCTGCAATTATTCAAAAGCTAAAATAATAATTAATTTTTGTTAACAAAAATGTGTTTTATTTCTATATTCAACAATTATGTTGTTTGTATTGTTAAGATAATATGTATTTGGAAGACTACTGACATCTGTTGGTGCTTGTCAACTTTTTTATGTCCTCTAAAGGATAAATTCTAAATTAAATTAAATTGCATATTGCAATTTTATTTTCAGATTTTTTGCTGATACAAATAAATAGTTTTAATTTCTCCCACATTTTATTTTTAATGCAGTCAATTATTTCTATTCAAGAGTCACAAAGATAAGTTCAGGTATTTGCCAAAGTTCTAATTTGAGTGAATAAAGTACAAGAAAAGATTTTAATGGATGTTTTCCAAAAATGTTGACCAAATGGCTCATAAGATATCTAATTTCTCTTGGTGTCAAGTTGGTGAGTTTTCATTACACTTCAAAACTCAAGTATTTTTGACCTACTTGAGAATAACTTGTTGATATTTAAAAATCTCACAAGACATACAATAAAACCTCAATTTAATGGACTAATTTGAGCAAGGAGGTATCCATCCGTTATATAATAAAGTAAGTTTACCAAATACATTGCGTTACACAAATAAGTTTAGTTAAAAAAATCGTCAAATAATGTAGATACATATAGAAAACTTTTCTGTGAAATTAAATTTAGTCTCAGAACTATGAGTTTATAATATGATTTAAATAATAAAGTGCAAACAAATAAACAGTTTTTGGAAAATGCACTCTAACTAAACAAATACATGTTAAGACAGGAAATTTTTTGGGTTTTTATTTCTTCAGCTTTGGATATGTTGAGACACTCCTTGTGATGTGAAGAGGGGTGACTGATTTGAAAAAAAAGTAACCTGTTAATTTTAATTTAATTAATACCTTGTTAAAATGCATTTTATATGTAATTTTCACATATGACATTTAACAAACAAAATTTCTGATCTATCAAAATTCCTTAAATTGAGGTTTACTGTATTTTTAACTCCAGAATAATAATCTGTAAAACAAACCTTATTAAAACTGTCAGCTGTAACTGTTGTTAATCATAAACAGTACTAGTTTAATATAGTTGCATACTACATATACATGCTATAATGTAAAAAATCTTGGCATAAATGCTACTGTTCAATTTATGTACAAACATAGAAATGATAACATCAATCATACAGGAACAGATTAGAAAGAGGATAGTCATCCCAAGTAGTTTTAATAGTAGTTATATAGTAGTTTTAATATTACTCAATTTCATTTTCAAATTAAAAATCATTTTTTAAGAGAGTAAAACAATATAATAATAAAATAGTGGAAATTAAATTTTCACATTTAGTTATTGCATTAGTTGTTTAGCAATTCTATAGATTATACAAAATCTTACCTTTTCAATGCATATACTTTAAATATACTCAATATATTCTCATTCTGACTGACAGACACAGAGAAGTGTTGTATCAAAAAAAAAATAATTTCACACAACTTCTGCTAACCCACTATCAATATATTTTGATTCAATTTTACAAGATTTCAAACTTTCTTTACAGACATACTATCTGCTTATCAAATTCAATGCTTTATTAAACCATTTATATCATTCAGTTGTAAAGTATTAATAATAACGAACTTTAATATTAAGTTTGCTGCCCACCAATGGTCAAGAGAATCATCACCATCACTGATAGGTCATGGTTTCAGACCTGACTGCATGGAGTTTTTCTGGGTTTCTTTATCAGAAAGTGGTCCTTGAGGTGAGATATGTAAAGTCCTAAGAGCATATTACCTTTGAAGTCTCCCTCATATTGTTTGGTTTGAGAGACATTGAGAGTATTGTATGTGAAACTTTGCTATTTGGAGAGAGATTCTTCAAAACAAGATAGCCTATTACTCAAATTCTAAAATAATTGGATTGGTACACAATGTTCCCTATCGTGTTTCCCCGAAAATAAGACCTAGCAGAGGTTTTGCTGAATTGCGAAATATAAGGCCTCCCCCTGAAAGTAAGACCTAGGAAAGTTTTTTTTAGTCGTAACGATCATCGACAGATGGTTGAAAGCGGCCGTTGGCTTTTTGAAAGTACAGCCACTAATTGGTCAGCAATCACGCCACACGGCATGATTTGCATAAGACTATGGCTTGGGAATCAGATTTGCATAACGTTACGGCTGGTGATCACTAATTGGTCGGCCGGGAATCATGCCACATCACATTTGCATAGTGCTACGGTTCAGTAAGCACTAATTGGTTGTCGAGCCCGATGTCAACGCTATGAAAAGATTAAGTTGAAGCAAGAGTGGTAAGTCCACTCTAGCACGGAAACGTCATAATTTCACTTCGGTTTTATTTAAGTTCAGTTCCACACGACCAGATATATGCCACTCTCATCTAAGTTAGACTTGGGAATTTTTTTGTTCAACAATAAATATGAATTCTTCTTCATGGAAAAATAAGACAACCCCTGAAAATAAGACCTAGCGCACCTTTGAGAGCAAAAATTAATATAAGACACCGTCTTATTTTCGGGGAAACACAGTAGTAAAACTCTGGTCAACTCTCTTCCATAATGCAAAGATTGTTCAATTTAAATGATTATATAACAAGTTAAGCATTTTAAGTCATGCCATTAATTAACATGTTCACTGCTGGTAAAAAAAACTATTTCCCAAACAGTAAGCTGGAAAATATTGTTATAAGAAGGTAAAATTTCAACTGGGATACTTATTATTTTAGGAATTGAACAAAACTCTGGGGCCTTTTTGCTTCATTTGCTCTGTCCTGGAAAATATGCTAAAGGACATAATAAAAAGTGTCAATATGAGGAAATTGGAAGGAAGGTATCCAACCAGATGATAAAATACTAGAGGAAACAAATCAGTGCGTGCTACTCAGATAACTAGAATTTTATGAAAATTTCAATATTACAAAATCAACAGGCATATGGTTTGATTGAATTCCTTCTGAGTGTCATGAGGAAAATTAATAGCTATTGTAATATCTGTTTTAACAAAAGTTACCAGTTTAATAGAAAAAGTAATGAAAATATAAGAGCACTTACATAAAGATGCAATATAAAGTATAATTCATTAATTGAAATTACAAAGGTATGAAATTTTAAGTTCTTGAAAGTGAAAAATATTAAAGAACTCCAAACTTTATAATGTTTATCATTGAATTAAATCTTAAAACAATATTATATAACAAAAATGTAAATTAATACTTCTGTTATGATTTTTCCAAAGTCAATTTAAAATGAAGGAAACACACAAACAAATGAAATAATTTTTCATCAAAAAAACATCAATTCAAACTATTTTCTTTGAAATACATTACACAGGTTGAGCTCGACATAACTCATCAGCTAAGTGTAAAAATATCAAATATTAATCCTCAAATAAATTAATTTTTCTCAGTATTCACAGAATAAAAGTGATTTTTTTCAAATGTTTTGTCTGTAAAAAGTACAGAATTTCAACAGATTTAACCAAATCTCAAGAAAAACTTATTTAAAAACTTATGTTTTGTTTTAAACTTCAAAGCAATTAACCAAATTGTCGGTCTCTCTCTCAAATATTACATAATGTAGATAATTTTAACTGAATCCAACAATACATAACTTCTCTATTTGATACAAACCTTGCTGGATGTACTGTACAACAGACAGGCTGATACAGTAAGTCAAGGGTGGGGAGACAGAGTTATCTCAAGCACAGTTGGACTTTAAAATTGTAAATGCTAAAAATGAAGAAATTCTTATATGAAATTTTGTTAAAAATAAGATGGTACACAATATATTTTAACTTTAAGACACATTAGCACAGTGTCTCTTAAAAGCCAGGAAAGTTAAAATAATCAGTATCTGGGAGTAATTATTAATGATCAACTAAACTGAAGACGTGTTTCTTGTGATACACATTTTCAGTTTAGTTGATCATTAATAATTACTCCCAGATCCTAATATAGGGAACTTCACTAAGGTACTGTATAAACCTTTTTAATTTTTAACCCAAAATTGTTTTATCCAAGTTTTGGTTACTCATGATAAACCATTATTCCATGTTACATCAGATAATTAGAGTTCTATTGTATAGACCCGTGGTTCTCAATCCGTGGTCTGCAGAACATGGGTGCTTCAAGTGTTCCGTGAAAAAATCAAATATACAATTAAAAATTGTTGCAAAAGAAAATTCAATACAATGTGAAATAATTTTTGTATGGGAATGTGATCAGCAAATGCCAATGGCATCATATACTAGACAGAGTGCACTCAAAGGTTTGCCACTCCTGCTTTAAAGCTGATGTATTTTAAGTGTTCTGGGGGGGGAGGAGAATGTCAAAGTTTAGTATTCCTTCACTTCAAAAAGAACCATGGGTATAGGCCATCGATATTTATGATCATCTTTAACAATTAATTAAATTACTAGCAGATGAGCCTGGTGTTTCCAGGGAAAAAAATATCAACACCAAAGAATATTTCTTACTTCTACCCCTTCTATTATATTACATTACAGTATTTAATTTATATAACTACAAAAGTTATCTTACATAAGGGTTTTATCACACCGAGTGACCAATCTAACACATTTTAAAAATTCTTTAAATTGTGTACAGTAGAGGAATAAAGAATTTTTAAAATGTGTTCAATTATAAATGAGGATGTTTGTGTGTTTTACACAAGCAATCCTCATTTACATATATAGATTACAAAATAGAGGTTTTGTTTAATACACACACTACCTGTTACCCGCGATTTCGCCCGCGAGAATTTTGCAAGCAAACCCCATTTATATTCAGTATTTCAACAACCATAGTAATTGTTATATAACACCTACCGCTGAGAATGACGAGAATCAAACGAACTATTTTCAATTTGATCAATTTTCTGGAATGCTTACAATCATTCTATAATCAAACCAATATGCAATAACAAATTTGAATTTAAAACAGTTTGACATTTTTAAAATCGAAATAGATAAAAAACAATGTCTGAAATGTTATCAATTTAATACACCTAAGTACTCAATGAAGACTAAATGTACTGTAGTTGAAAACGAAAAATCGCATCTAAAATAGTACAGTAGAAGCCATTCTTCCGGTTAAGCCTTAATTTAATGCTCTCCCTCTCCCCTCGCAGGGAAATTTAGAAAAATCCCTTCTTAGTGTGCATTTTCATGACGTACCCTAACTGTGTATCAAATTTCA